GGAAATCAGGAAAAGAGAATAGAGAAAGTGGAGAGGAGGAAATGATCAAAGAAATAATACAGGAAAACATCCGAGGGCTGGACAGACTGAAAGGACCAATGGAGTAACCAATAAAATTAGTGGAGGAAAAAGAAATTGTGCCATGATGAAATTTAAGACTACCAGAAAAAGATAGTGAAAGTTTGACTTGTCAGTAGCAACACTACAAGCTGAAAAACAAAGGAGTGGTGTGTTCAAAAATTCTAGATACAAATTATTGCCCATCTAGAATTCTGTATCCAGCCAAATCATCACTCAGGTATACAATATTCAGATATTCCAAGTCTCCAACAAAAAATAAATAAAATAAATAAAATAAACTTACTATGTATATACTCCCCTTCCAGAAGTTACTAAAGAAAATATTCCATCCAAACAGGAGAATGAGAAAAAAGGAGAGGAAAACACAGGATCCAGGAAAGAGAGACAAAGGGACCCCCCAGGCTTCGAAAATAACTAGTCCAGATTGGAGCAAAGGAGACAAAGAAGCATAATAGAAAATAGGAAATTCGATCAGCAGACAGATTTCACCATGAGGAAAATTTTAGAGGTTATTGGAGGATAAGGGGAAACTTACCAATGGAAACTAAGGAAATGAAGCAAATGGGCAGAAAGGCAATTAATTCCAGGAAAAATAAAAATGTGTTCATAGCATATTACTTGGCTCCTCAGTGTTGTATTATAGGCAGAATAATGTGAGCACTGAATATTGATTTAACCAAAAATTGTGATACTGGAAAAATGGAAGAGAGAATAGCAAAGAGCTGAATCCTCATCTACCATAATAGGAAATCTGAAATTGATGAAATGAGAAAGAAGTATATGCATTTAATTTAGAAATATGCAGATAGCAAGAAGCAGCTACGAGAGTTAAGTGTCTGCCTCTGGGTGGTAAACTGGGGGTAAAGGGGGGGAACAGGTAGATGGCGTGAATACAGCATTGTTCATTTAAGGGTCTTTCAGGACTATTGGATTCTTACCTTACACTATGTGTGTGGCACTCTCTCTATGTTGCTTTTTTTCCTTTTTTCTTTTTTTTTGGGGGGGTGGGATTTATTGGTGGGTATGAGTAAGGAGGGGCAGCACAGTGGACGCCCTCTCAAGTGCAGGGCTTTAAAAAACATAAGGAAAAGAGCTCTCTGAAGTCACATTGATTCAGATTTGAATCTCGGAGCAACCGTTTTGCTACCTTTGTGATCCTGGGAAAATTATTTTAAGCTTTCTGAGTCTCCGTTTCCTCAATTGTAATATGAGGCAAATACTTTTATTAGCTATCACCTTTCATAGGGTTCTTTAGAAACAGGTCAACTGCCTGACCCACGGAAAAGCCCTCAATAGAAGCTTTCTGCCTGTTCTAATTACCTGGCACCCTTCATTCCTCTCTGGACATCTTGACCTCTTGCTCTTCATCAGTTATTCAGGCCCAGTGTGGATTTAGCCCCCCGGTGTGTTTGGATGTTTCACCTTAGCTCTAACGTGAAGAAGAAGTTGTTGTTTTGTTTTTGTTTTTGTTTTCTTGTTTAAAAAAAAATAAGCTGGTGACCCTTGATATAGAAATCAGTTCCTCTGAGGAGTGGCTTTGGTGATGGAGGAACACCGTTCCCCCTATGGGAAAGGAAAACTTGAGTCATACTCTTTCAGCCACTGGTGAGCAGAAGCTTAGGTGAGAACCAGACATCTTAGAAGGCTCCAGGATCTCCCATTCGTGCCCACAAACATTTCCAGCCTTAATCCCTTTTGCTGATGTAATAAGATTCTTCAGCTGGATGATGAAAACTGAGCCCATGGTGTTGTGATTATGAGCTCAGCTGCCTGCCACTGGCAGGTGACAGCTGCACCTGTGAGGCTGGCTGGTCAGCTTCCCACACACCCAGGGTGTCTTCGGCCTCCTGCACCCTAAGCCCTGCCCTGACCCGGCCACTAGTTATTGAACAGGGAGTGAGGTTTCCTGGTAGAGATTATTTATTTTACTGCCAGGATTATGCTATATGCAAATCACAGGTCCAGGCACTGGGGATGACATAGAGATACATGTACATTTGGCCTCGAAGGAGTTTGCCATTTAATGAGGGAGATAGGTGATCACCATCCAATAGACAAGGAAATAAGTGAAGTGGGTAAGAGAAGGGCTGCTGGTGGGCTGCATGTGGGATAAGTCAGACTTTGGGTCTACATGCGGGAATGCTGCTTTGGAGCTTCTCATGCAAGCCTGGAGCAGGTGAGCACCCAGCTCAGGTGATTTTCTTTAAGCAAAAGCAAGTCTTCAAACTTGTGTGATGTTTTATCCTTAGGACGGCAGTAGGAGTGGGTGGTCTCTGAATACTGACAGTCCTTATGGAGGAGGATAGTGCCTTGTGGGCAGGGTGACCCTACAATTCATTAGCCAGACAGGGACATTTGAGAGTGAAGGTAGTGAAAGATAACCAGCATTCCAGGACACGTATAGCCAGGGCTTGCCCTGGCAAACCAGACATATGATCTTCCGACTTACAGGAGCTTGGTAATTATAAAGTGGAGTAGAGTCAGTGACCTAGGGACCAGAAGAGAATAGATTCTGGCTGGGCACAGTGACTCATGCCTATAATTCCAGCACTTTGGGGGGCCGAGGCAGGAGGATAGCTTGAGGCCAGAAGTTCAAGATGAGCCTAGGCAACATAGTGAGAACTTCATCTCTACAAAATTAATAAATAAATTAGCCGGGCATAGTAGCATGCACCTGTAGTCCCAACCACTCATGAGGCTGAGGCAGGAGGATTGCAGGAGCCTTGGAGTTAAGGCTGCAGTAAGCCATAATTGTATCAGCCAAGGCAACAGAGCAAGACCCTGTCTCAAAAAAATAAAAGAGAGAGAGCGAGAGAGAGAAAATAGATTCCTACTCAGTCTGAATGTCTAGGTCTCGTGCAGGTTCAAAAGGCTTCTCAGGCAATTCTCCCAGACACCCTGGGTAAGAGCCACTGGCAGTGGAGGGCCCTGGTCTCTCATGACACATTTCCTCCTCAGAATGACTGCTCAAGGGGTCCATTTTCACCAGTGACCAGCGTCAGTCCGCCTCTCTGGTTAGGACTCCTCAAGGAGCCCCATATGTTCTGGCCAAACTACTTAAAGATTAAATGTATATTTTCTGCTTCCCTGGCCCCTTAGCTCTTCCTGCATGGAAACCAGTTCAGAGTTTGTCTTGGTATGGTTTTTAATTGCCATGCCAAAGTCCCGCCCCCTTATAGTTCTTTTCAGAGAGGAATTCTTATGCCAAAACCACTTCACAGTGATTTCACACTGTAGAAAATAATGTAGAAAATGCTCTAAGCAGCCGGGCGCGGTGGCTCAAGCCTGTAATCCCAGCACTTTGGGAGGCCGAGGTGGGTGGATCACGAGGTCAGGAGATTGAGACCATCCTGGCTAACACGGTGAAACCCCGTCTCTACTAAAAATACAAAAAAATTAGCCGGGCATGGTGGCGGGCGCCTGTAGTCCCAGCTACTCGGGAGGCTGAGGCAGGAGAATGGCGTGAACCCGGGAGGCGGAGCTTGCAGTGACCCGAGATCGTGCCACTGCACTCTAGCCTGGGCGACAGAGCGAGACTCTGCCTCAAAAAAAAAAAAAAAAAAAAGAAAAAAGAAAATGTTCCAAGCAATTGCTGTTTTATCAAAGAAATTAACAGTTGATGTGAGAGGACAGCCCTAATGACCTAGCACTTTTACCCCATTTCATTCTGTATCCTGATAGAATAAAGGTCATAGAGTAACAGAATTTACAGGGTAAAATTATTCCTATTTATTTTATTTGTCTCTTCCACCAGCCTGTGATTTCCTGGAAGACATAAATTACATTGTTAACATAAGATATCATTAAAACCATCACCGGGCTGGTCTGAAGGTAGTGAGTTATCTCACTTGATTGTTCACAGTTATAGATCAAACTTCTTGTTCTACTCTTTCCCCTCTTCTCACTACTGTACTTGACTAGTCTTTGTTAACAATTAAAAATAATAAAATAAATAAAACCATCATTGGCATGGACATATTTGTGGGGTCTCCTAAATGAGTATGGTTGAATGGAAGGCAGCCTGGTCATAGCCCCACCTCTCTTGCTGACACCAGAGAGACTCCTTTCAGTCCTTACACCCAAAACAGACTTTCCTTTGTGATCTTTATTTATAGCAAATCATATTCTTCGCAGGCCACCTGAGGCAACTGGGAGGTGGCCTCCTCCTCCTCTTCCCCTCCCCATCCCACAGGGACAGTTTTGTTGTGTCGGTTCAGCTCTGCCTGGTCTTATGAACGCTGGGGTCTACCTGTTAAACACGGCAGGGCGTGGTCAACTCTTCCCTCCAGTTCCCACAGGCTCCAACTGTTGCTCTTTAATGGCTTTGTGGAAAATGGTGCGCTCTCTCTTTCTCTTTCTGTCTCTCATTGGACTGTGTTTCCTGTTTTCTTCTTCATTGTCATAAAAATCCTAGACACTGCTCAGGGTCCCACTGGTAGGAGATTGTCCTCATCTGTGACAGATCTTTCCCATGTGGCTCCTCCTTTCTGGAAATTCACTAATGCTCACCAGCCCCATAAAGAAAACTAGGAACACCTACGTTATTGTAACTATGAACACCTTATACACATCCTTCTAACTTTAGATTGGATGTGGATTAAATGTTGGCATCACCTGGTTCTGTCAGATTGTCTCATCTGGCTCCTTAGAAACCAAAATGGGAGAATTGACATGTTTTGGTTATTAAGTCATAGTTCCAGCTGTCAGACCATACTGCTTGTGCTAAAGGAATAGGGAATACTGTGTGTGAATGGCTGGAAAAAGGCAGACACTAAGGGGCATTTATAACCAACATAAATATGTAATAAAGGCAATGTCAGTATAAACTAAATACATACAAAATAAAGGCAATTATTAATATGTAAGCATAGGCTCCAGAGATGTTTTAGTTTGGTCTCCTTCTTCTCCCCCTACCACAGAAACCAAATGACCGTGATCATAAAGTGAGACTGGCACTGGGAAATGGCTTACGAGGAGATGTGTGGAGACAATTTGTCAAGAGATTTGGAGACATATGCATCTATGAGTTCTATGCTGCCACTGAAGGCAATATTGGATTTATGAATTATACGAGAAAAGTCGGTGCTGTTGGAAGAGTAAATTACCTACAGAAAGTAAGTACATTGAAAAATGGGAGCATACGTAGCCAGTTTTCAGAATACGGAGTCTTCTTAAAAGCCAAGTCGTGATGATGTTATCAGAAGTCAGGCAGCATCAGAGCCATGGCCCATTCCTATCACCAAGAGAAGTTTTGCTCATTCTCTGTGATGATGACTTCAAAACATCAGATCTTCCAATTAAAAACATCTCAACTTCTGTTAAGAACAATCCATTGTGCCCTTGCCATCTGCAACTTAGGTGAAGTCTTCCTGATGCCGTTTATACTTGTATGTGATAAAACACCTGAAGGTTACAAGTTCCATAAGCTTATAGTACACTGTGAAACCTAGTATTTCCCTTTGTGTGGTGCAGCACCATCACCTGGGGAGTTTTTTTATATGCACAGATGCAAGGCCCCACCCACTAGGGTTTGGATTCAGTTGTTCTGAGGTGGAGCCCAGGCATCTCGGTGCTAGGATCTGGTGAACATTTATGTCCACCTAATAATTCCACCAGAAAGATTTTTTTGTTTGTTTGTTTGTTTTTGTTTTTGTTTTTTTGAGATGGAGTCTCGCTCTGTCGCCCAGGCTGGAGTGCAGTGGTGCAATCTCCGCTCACTGCAAGCTCTGCCTCCCGGGTTCACGCCATTCTCCTGCCTCAGCCTCCCGAGTAGCTGGGACTACAGGCGTCCGCCCCCACGCCCAGCTAATTTTTTGTATTTTTAGGAGAGACAGGTTTTCACCATGTTAGCCAGGATGGTCTCGATCTCCTGACCTCATGATCCGCCCGCCTCGGCCTCCCAGAGTGCTGGGATTACAGGCATGAGTCACCGCGCCCGGCCAGATATTTCTTATTTTTAAGCCAGCTCACATAGCCGTCTCTTTTCCCTGTCAGTCATTTTATTGCCTGTGGGTCTCTGTTGTCTTTTTTGTACTCAAGCAGTCAGTCGTCCAGATAACCAACTATTCTGCAAATACCCAGAAATGTTCAGCAAATGCTGAGCCTCCGCTGGCTTGAGAAGTCACTGTGGTCTTTGTGCCTCTGGACCGCTCATCCCATCTGGCCATGAAACAGCCGCACCGGGACTTCCACGCAACCTGTGTCCCCAGGGACAGACCAGCAGAGTTCAGAGGACAGTAGTTCATGTGTGTAAGAGCCCTGGCTCTGGAGAGCAAATCTCAGTGCCACCGTATGCTAACTGAGTGACCTTGGGCAGGTCCCGTATGTTCCTCAGGCCTCAATTTCATCATCTGTAAAACAGAGATAACAAGAGAAAATACTGAACCCAGTGCTGAGCCCACACTCAGTAAGGGAAAAGGATTGTTGAAAGGATTAAATATGAAAAGGCCCTTAGAGGCTATAGCCCAATGCCTGTCATTTAATAGCCTTGAATAATTGTTAACCATAATGATGATAATCACTCCATTTCTTATATTCTGGCTTAATCTCAAGGTATTCCCAAGTTCAAGGACCCTCTCTAACAATGACAGCAGCTCCACCTACGCTACACAGGTCCCTCCACAGTCCTCTAGACCTGCGCTGTCCAAACGGTAGCCACTAGCTACATGTGGCTACTTAAATTTAAGTTATATTAATAAAAGTTTGAATCTAGTTCTTCAGTCACACTAGCCACATTTCCAGTGCTGAATAGCCACGTGTGGTTAGTGAAGACCGTATTGAGCAATGCAGACAGAGAATATTTCCATCATCACAGCAGATTCCTGGGCAGCGCTGCTGCAGACTGAGAATCAATCTCCTACACGTCACTGGAACTGCTGCTGAGAAGGTCCGCTAATGCTGTGCATTACCCATTCTTTACTTTCTCATCCATTGAGTGCCATGTTTTATTGACAGTTTTTCTACTTTAAGCAACACATTAAAAAAAGAACTTTAAAAACCGGATGATCCCATGCAATTGATGTGGAAAAGAACATTCATTACCACCTATAAATTTTTTACATTCCTGCAAATAAGATCTACATTTGTTGACCATAAACGCCACTTATTTTTTTAATGAAGTTGTCTGCTAATACTAAAGCATATGATTGGTTGCTTCATCACATAGACTTGAATGTAAATTTGAAATAGACACAGTAATCATGGCTAATAATTATATCCAAATACTGTCATATTTGCATTTTTCTTCCAGTAAGGAAAATAATATATTTATTATTGCTCTTACTGAATTGCTGAAAATTAAATTCTTATGCATTGAATTATGTTTTAAATATGATAGAGTTTTAATAATTGTATAGTCATGGGCATGAAATATGCCTTTGATTCTAAAATATGTTAGATAACATTTCCGTAGAAAAGTGAAAAATCTAACAGTGTCATATTAATATAAGGTTACATAAGATTTTAAAAACCCATTTGTGATACATCCACCAAAAGATACAAGAATGTCATAACAGCTTTATTTATAATAGGCCAAAACTAGAGATAATCCAAATACCCATTAACAGGAAAATAGATAAATCAATCATGGTATATTTATACAAGGGAAAATTGCATGGCCATAAAAAACACTAACATGGATGGATGAATATTATAGACATATTGAGTAAAAGAAGCAGACACAGAAGTATACATTCATTTCACTCGTTTGAGGTTTAAGATGAATTGACAGCAATATAAGTCACACTAGTAGTTGACGTCACAGAAGGGCAGGAGGAAACGTTCTAGGTGAAATGCAAATGTTTTCTCTGTCTCTCTGGGTGGCAGTTTTAAGGGTATATGCAAATGCAAAATTTCATCAACCTGTACACCTAGGATATACTTTACGTTATACCACAATTAAAAAAGGAAAAATTGTAAAAGGTTTATTCTCAAAATTACACATTTTAATTTTGCTAGAAAATCATAACTTATGACCTGATTAAATATGATGTGGAGAAAGATGAACCTGTCCGTGATGAAAATGGATATTGCGTCAGAGTTCCCAAAGGTACAGTAGACTTTTGTTCAATCAACCTGTGCCCCTTCTTATCTTGACCAAGTGACTTTTAAGGACTAACATATTATTGCCACATGGTAAAATTTATCAGAGTGGGGAAAAGGGGGGTTTATATAAGTACCCTCCAATATACAGGAATTCCAAAGGTGCTAATTTACCACTGCATATAACATAATTCTAGTTTTAAACCTAACTTAACAACTTCTTGCTTATGAGGTAACGTTTTGTGGGAAGGGATATGTAATTGTGGTTGCAAAACCATAGTTTTAGGTGGCCTTTACCTTTAAGCTTTAACTACTGGGCGTTTGTGTAAGTGTGCATAAATCATTATTCAGTAAAAGATTAGCAGTAAAAGAATTACAGGCCAGGTGTGGTGGGTCACGCCTATAATCCCAACACTTTGGGAGGTTGAGGAGGACTGATCATTTGAGATCAGGAGTTCAAGACCAGCCTGGCCAATGTAGCAAAATCCTGTCTCTACTGAAAATACAAAAATTAACTGGGCATGATGGCACACACCTGTAACCCTAGCTACTTGGGAGGCTGAGGCAGGAGAATCCCTTGACCCTGGGAGGCAGAGGTTGAGACTGCACCACTGTACTCCAGCCTGGGCAACAGGGCAAGATTCCGTCTCAGAAAAATAAGAATCAAAATAAAATAATTAGGCCATATACAATAATGTACAGTATATGTGTGTGTGGTATATATATGTGTGTCTGTGATACATATGTACATATAATTCACAGGTATACATGCATGGAAAATGATACTTCTACAGCCAGTTTGTTACCAGCAGGTTGTATGGCATTAGTTTTAAGAGAAGGCTGATGTATAAATGTGACCTCTAGCACATAAAATAAGTTTACTTTCTTCTGTTTTAGGTGAAGTTGGACTTCTGGTTTGCAAAATCACACAACTTACACCATTTAGTGGCTATGCTGGAGCAAAGGCTCAGACAGAGAAGAAAAAACTGAGAGATGTCTTTAAGAAAGGAGACCTCTATTTCAACAGTGGAGATCTCTTAATGATTGACCGTGAAAATTTCATCTATTTCCACGACAGAGTTGGAGATACATTCCGGTTGGTTTTTCTGAATCATTGAGCCGAAAACAAACACACGTACAGTTTGGCATACTCCTAGTGGAATCGCATTCCGCTTTGGTTATGGTGCATTTCCTTCCCTGTCTTTGGCACATGAGGTCAAACTCCTGTGTTCCCAGAGAATGAGGAATGAAGTGCATGAAGTGTCACTCTGCAGTGCACAGTTAACTTGGCTGAGCAACACCAGATGAGAATAAGGCAGGAAACCTGTATCTGATTTCTGGAGACAAAAGTACATGTAACTCCTTTTGTTTCTCCTGCATTATTACTGGTCCCTCTCAGGACAGCCAAGGATTTTCACCTTTCCAATCATGGAGGTGTTTAGATAAAATCAGATGCAAATTAGTGTGGAGTTGATCTAGTTGAAGAGGAGGTGAGGAGTTCGGAGTCCCTTCCCCCAACACCTTTCATCCCCAACCAGATGGTTTCCTGCAGAACCCCCAGGTCAGTGCAAGGAAGTTTGGAAGTCCTAATAGACCATGGAATTAACTTCCAACCATAGCACAGTCCTCCAGCCTCAGGACACAGCTTCCTTCCTGTGTAAACTCCCTGAGGGCAGGCCCTGTGTCTGCCTGTTCACCCCCAGTACCTACCATGGTGCCTGACACACATAATCACTTTTTGCATGAATGAATGAGGTTGTCTAACTGCAGTAGAAAGACAGCAGATGAAATGAGGAGAACCAGGCTCACCTCTCCCCCCTGAGCAGCAGTGGTATCAAGACAGGTAACCATTGTGAACCTCAGTCCTTTTGCCCTTGAGATGAGGGTCACAATGATTCGCAGGGTCCTTCCATCTCTACTATTCCATGTCTTCAGATCCATATCACTTTATGCCATCTTCATGCTATTAAGAAGATACTTCTGGGAGGGCTAAAGAATTTTTAATGGGCCAGGCGCGGTGGCTCACGCCTGTAATCCCAGCAGTTTGGCAGGCTGAGGCAGGTGTATCACCTGAGGTCAGGAGTTCCAGACCAGCCTGGCCAACATGGTGAAATCCCGTGTCCACTAAAAGTACAAAAATTGCTGGACATGGTGGCACGCACCTGTAGCCCCAGCTACTTGGGAGGCTGAGGCAAGAGAATCACTTGCACCTAGGAGACGGAGGTTGCAGTGAGCTGAGATTGCACCACTGCACTCCAGCCTAAGTGGCAGAGCGAGACTCTACCCACTCCCGCAAAAAAAAAAAAAAAAAAAAAAAAAAAAAAAAATTAATAAAAACAGAATTTAACTCTTTATTAAGTGAAAAAATAGCACCTGGTTGGGCTTTAACATTAGAATCTCCCTGTAACTGAAGTATGATATTTTTTCCTTTCTTGTTGCCATGAGACCCTGAAGTAAAATATGAAGTTCTATTAAAGAGAACATCACCAACTGAATTAAATAGCAACTTGAGTTAGTAACTGAGAAGTTGAGAGACCTAAACACAGCAGAAAATCATTGAGATTTCTTTCTAATTTCCAGTGCCTTTCTTAGCCAGGGCTGTATTTTAACATTAGAACATTATTCCGTGTATTGTGTTTCATGTGGTAACATTGAAATTCCACATTTTGTTATCTAGGTCTATACTTTTCCCTTTTATGCCTCAAGCAAGATACCCCAGCCAGGACTAAGTTGGGGAGTTTGAGGGGCCAAGATGAGGAACACGAGATCAGCACCATGCAGAACTCTAAAGGAAACAGCTGCTCTCCGTCATTGCGACCTGGGCCAGAAGCCACCATTGACCTCTGCTAAATGTGTCCTTTCTTCCAGGTGGAAAGGGGAAAATGTGGCCACCACTGAAGTTGCTGATATAGTAGGACTGGTTGATTTTGTCCAAGAAGTGAATGTTTATGGAGTGCATGTGCCAGGTATATACAAGATAAGATCTGTATCTAAACCCATAGAGGAACTGAACATAATTTTAGCCCAGGTTTGTCATTGCTTTCTCCTGCCATCCAGAGTTAAACAGCTCTTTCAGCTGCCAGGGAGTAAGGAGCTGATGTCTGGCTTATGTTCCATTATAAAAGCCAGCTCAGTACATCTGAACATGGCCTTCTCTTCAGTTCAGCTCCCAGCCATTCTTGGGCTCTCAGGCAAACAAAGCCTCACCTATGGGAGCTCCACATTTGGCACGCCTCCAGAAAAGTCGTGTCATGCTTAAGAGCTGGGAAATGGTGTCCTGGCCTCCAAACTAGGAGGCACAAAGAAGAGCCAGTGCAGTTGCTAGAAGAAAAAGCTGAGGAAAAGTGGATTTTGTACAACCTCTCCTTTTTAAGATTTCTAAGCCCAGTTCACCCCACTAAGTTTCAGAATCATCACACAAGAATGTTGTCACCACAGCTTCATCTACAAATCTGCTTCTGCCAGCAGAGTCAGGAGGGCCAATGTCTGACCTTGAATCCTGGCTTCAACATCTGCCGGCTGTTTGACTGCCGGCTAATCACTAAAATTAAGGATAATGCCAGCCCTGCAGTTAAGGTTGTCAAGAGAACAAATTCATTTTAATTACATCAATGCTAAGCATATATTTATCAGATATATACATAAGGGTTGTTGTGACAATAAATCACATTGATTATACACGTCAGAGAGGATTCCAGCCTCCAAATTACTGTCCAAATATAAGGCACTAGGGGTATTACTATTCCCCCATAACTCATATTTGGGATTCCCACCCATATTCAAAGTAGAAATCCAGAAGTCCCTCTTTCTCAAGCTGTGACAGTTCTACATGGCCTTGTGCTTGTTCTTTTTAAAAAAATATTCAAGGCTGGGTACAGTGGCTCACTCTCGTAATCCCAGCACTTTGGGAGGCCGAGGTGGGCAGATCACGAGGTCAGGAGATCCAGAGTATCGTGGCCAACATGGTGAAACCCCATCTCTACTAAAAATACAAAAATTAGCTGGGCGTGGTGATGGGTGCCTGTAGTCCCAGCTACTCGGGAGGCTGAGGCAGGAGAATCACTTGAACCAGGGAGCCAGAGGTTGCAGTGAGCCAAGATCGTGCCGTCGCACTCCAGCCTGGCAACAGAGCAAGACTCTGTCTCAAATATTTAAGGCCAGATGCGGTGTCTCACACCTATAATCCCAGCACTTTGGGAGGCCGAGGCAGAAGGATCACTTGAGGTCAGGAGTTTGAGACCAGCCTGGCCAACATGGCAAAACTTAGTCTCTACTAAAAATATAAACATTAGCCAGGGGTGGTGGCTCACATCTGTAATCCCAGCTACTCAGGAGGCTGAGACAGGAGAATCACTTGAACCTGGGAGATGGAGGTTACAGTGAGCCAGGATCTCACCACTGCACTGCAGTCTGGGTGACAGAGTGAGGCTCCATCTCAAAAAAACAAAAAGAATATTCAAGAATATCTCTTGCTTGTTCCTCCCCAACTCTGGGACAATTACACAAAGGGAACTATGGCCACATCTTGGTGTGAGAGGGGACAGAATGGAAAGGGGTGTGAATACTCCCATTGGAGAACTCCCCAGGCCTTATGCTGAGCTAACACAAGGGTCTAAGTTGTGGTTGTCAGCCATTGTGCCACCCTGGGCTCTTGCAGACCCTTCCTCAAATGTTGTGTATGCGTCTAAATGTTTGATTTTAAAAAGAATAACCACACAAAAGAGTATGTATGAGGCGAGAGAATCTAGAAGATGAAACAGAAGGATCTAGCCTAGTGTTCTTCAAAGTGGGCCCCCGGATCAGCAGTGTCAGCATCGCCCAGGAGTCTGTTACAAGTGCAATTTCTCAGGCCCACCCCGAACTACCGAGTCAGAATCTCCGGGGCGGGGCCAGGAAGCTGTGCTGGCACAAACACCCTAGATATTCTTAAAAACACTGAAAGTCTGATTTAGGGGGTGATGAAAATGCACTAGAACTAGATCCTGGTGATGATAGTACAACATTGTAAGTGTGTAAAATGCCACTGAATTGTACACTTTTTTTTTTTTTTTTTTTTTGAGACAGAGTTTCGTTCTTGTTGCCCAGGCTGGAGTGCAATGGCGCAATCTTGGCTCACTACAACCTCAGCCTCCCAGGTTCAAGCAGTGATTCTCCTCCCTCAGCCTCCTGAGTAGCTGGGATTACAGCCATGCACCACCACACCCGGCTAATATTGTATTTTTAGTAGAGATGGGGTTTCACCATGTTGGTCAGGCCGGTCTCGAACTCCTAACCTCAGGTGATCCACTCCCGACCTTGGCCTCCCAAAGTGCTGGGATTACAGGCGTGAGCCACCACGCCCAGCAAATTGTACACTTTAAAATGAGTTAAAATGATAAATTTTTTGTTATATGTTTATCACAATTTTTAAAAACACACACACTAAAGTCTGAGAAGCAGTAAAGCCCAGTGGTTCCAAATATTTGGCCAATCATCGGAACCATCTGGGAAACTTTTTAAAGCCTGGATCTAATGGACCAGAGGCTCTGGAGTATGAGACTCAGAATCTACATGTCTTTTTTTAATTCCCCAGTGAATCTAATGATCAGTGAGTTCTGGGAGCCACTGAAACAGAACAAAGGGGAGGAGGTTGACAGTCTTACACTGTTGGCAGACAGTCAGATAGGATGAGGAGCAGGTGTATTCTGTGCTGCTCCAGCGATCAGAACTAAAACCAATGGATTAAAATGACCAGGGAGCCAATTTTAGCCTGAGAACTCCCCTGTAACCATCAATAGAATAGGCTTGTCTCCCAGGATAGGAAATGCCTCCACCAACTAAGGCATGTAAAGAGAAGCTGGATGCCCACCTGGGATCCTGGGAGAACTCTTGCAGCAGTGAAAGATTAGAGATACATTCTAAAGTCCCTCCCAACTTTCAGATTCTGTGATTCTCAATGCCACAACTGCTGTTGTCTGGCCCCCCATCCACAGAGGCCAGTCCCATTCCAGAGTAGAAATGCAGCTGGACTGTCTGAAGTAAGGCATCCTTCCACTATGGGTGATTCAGGACATGGCAGTCACACATCTCGGCTTTGGACCAGGAGAGAATTTCTAGGTTTGGGCCTGGAGTGGAGTTCACTTTTTCTAGGTGTCACACCTGAACTGCCCAACTACTCTGTAGAACTTTCTGCAATGATGGAAATGTTCCATATGCACTATCCAGCATGATAGCCAATAGCCACCATGTCAGTATGGAACACTTGAAATGTGGCTAGTGCAACTGAAGAACTGAATTTTTCATAATATTATAATTGATTTTAGTTTTAATAGCCACAAATAACCAGTGGGTGTCATATTAGACCGTGCAGCTCTAGAGAACCCTTGGCCAGAATTGACCTTTACAGTTAGCCCAGAACTCTTATAGGCTGGAACCATCCCCCCAGAGCTGAACTAGTCCCAAACCACCCTCCGAGAGTCGGGGCAGAGGCCTGAGACCTAACAGGCCCATTTGCCCCTAGGTCCAGCATTGCTGCTACCAGGGCAAGATGCAAAGAGATGGTCAATGCGGAGGATTTCTGTTGCATGAGCCTTAATTCTAAAAGGAACTTATTGGAGACACTTGAGATTTCTAAGACAGGTGCTAAAGACCCTAAACTAAGAGGATCTAGTGCCCCTGCCTCTCTCCCTCAGACAAGAAACAAACCGAATGAGGGGGCATCTTTTTTTCCTTTTGCTGTTTGCCTTCTTTAGAGCTATCGGTAAACACACAATCACCATGGGAGAGATTTCAAAAGCTGGGGCCCAGGTAACCAAGGGAGGCTCCTGTCTTCTCTCTGATTACAGCTGAGCAGTTGAGGGAAGTGGATCGGGACTCCTCCTGGGTCTGCTGGATCAGGTAGAGGATACATTAATACCTAATTACCACTGTCCTCACAAGAAGGCAGTTGTAATTGTTGGAAACTGCTCTGGGCTAAATATCCTGCTGTAGGATCTGTTCTCTCTGTGGAGGGCACATCCTCTTGGGACTAATGGGCCTTTAAAGGGAGTGCACAAAACAGCTCCCTGTGCCTGCCTTCACCTCCTGTTGCACATCCTCTCCGAAATGCAGACAAGAAAAGCCATTAGAACCTTGATCAGATAAGTAGGTCTCCAAGGTGGTGTTTGTGCCCAGAGGTGCAACAAACCTGACACTGCAACCTGAAGAACAATCCAAGCTCAGTAAGTCGTGCCTGACGGTGGAGCAAGGACTTTCACTGGAGTCAAAAATAACTTCCTGTCGCCACCAGTCCAACCTACTCCCTACCCAGATGTGTTTATATAGGCTGCTAAAAAGAAGGATGATGGTTCTAAGCACAAGATCTGGAGCCAGGCTGCCTGAATTCAATTCCATACCCTGCCTAGTATTTGATGTCTGACCTCAAATAAGTCTCTTAATGTCTTTAGGCCTCAGCTTCTTCATCTGTAAAATGGAGATAACATCTATATCTCTTCAGAAGGTTATGAGGCTTAAGTGAGATTATCAATACAACACACTTAGTATAGGGCCTGGAATATAATAGTCAACCAACTGTTATTATTACTATTAATATTAGTACATTCACTTTAGATTATCTTCGACAGGTATTTGTAATAAAAATTCCAACTATCCAAATGAAACCCATGCTATAAAGTTGTCTGAGTCCACAGTTCTTTGAACTAATAAAGCATCATAAATAGCCATAACACATCTAATTTTTTCTCACTTTATTTCTAGATCATGAGGGTCGCATTGGCATGGCCTCCATCAAAATGAAGGAAAACCATGAATTTGATGGAAAGAAACTCTTTCAGCACATTGCTGATTACCTGCCTAGTTACGCGAGGCCCAGGTTTCTAAGAATACAGGTGAGATCTCTTATTATCAAGTTCAATGATCTGCTGTCTTGGAGATTCCTACTTCTTAGGGAACAACTTGCCTTCTCCCAGGATGACTACATTTGCCAAATTATCACCACACTTTCCAGGAAGCTCAGAAAGAAGTGTCATAGACCAATAAGGAAGTGGTCATATCAGACTGGGTGCAGTGGCTCACGCCTGTAATCCCATCACTTTGGGAGACCGAGGTGGGAGGATTGCTTGAGCTCAGGAGTTTGAGACCAGCCTAGGCAACATAGTGAGACTTCATGTCTACTAAAACTAAAAATTTTTTAAAAGGCCGAGCGTGGCGGCTCATGCCTGTAATTCCAGCACTTTGGGAGACCGAGGTGGGCGGATCACCTGAGGTTGGAAGTTCAAGATCAGGCTGGCTAATGTGGTGAAACCCCATCTCTACTAAATATACAAAATTAGCTGGGTGTGGTGTAGCATGCCTGTAGTCCCACCTACTCGGGAGGCTGAGGCAGGAGAATCGCTTGAACCTGGGAGGCGGAGGTTGCAGTGAGCCAGGATCACACCACTGCTCTCCAGCCTGAGCAACAGAGTGAGATTCCATCTCCAAAAAAAAAAAAAAATTAGCCAGGCATGGTGACACGCACTTGTAGTCTCATCTACCTGGGAGGCTGATGCAGGAGGATTACTTGAGTCTAGGAAATCAAGGCTGCAGTGAGGTATGAGTGCACCACTGCACCCAGCCTGGGAAACAGAGCAAGGCCCTTTCTTTAAAAAAAAAAAAAAAAAAATCAGAAAACAGCTAGCGGAAATCCAATTCTAATCCCTTTCTCCTTACAAGACAGACCAGTTCATTCAGCAAGAGTCTTAGCACACAACTCACAAAGTCTGTTTGGTGAGTCCTGACAGACATCGCAAATAGAAATGCCCTGATCCTGTTTGTTGTTTCCAGTTTTAAAGAATACAGAAATCCACAGAAGTTCTACACCTTTCCATGGTGTGAAATTTAACTGGACGTTAGCCAGCTGGAATTGCCTAAGACTTAACTATCACCGCTAGGGGGGTTTTTTTCTTCCTCCAACATTAACCCTTCCGTTGGTTTAACATTCTCACTTTTAGATTTTGAGCTCTGTGATTCTATAGTTGAAGACTTGACAAAGGAAGTCTTAAGATTCCAGATATTGTGTGTATAGGATTATTCCTGTTCATAAAGCACCGACATTTGCTTTGCAACCGGATGGTAAAGAGGCATGAAAATGAAATATCCTCAGATATTTTGATTAACACATTAATTGAAGGGAAAATCAGTCTTTAGTAGACAAGATAAGCAGACTGAGAAAACAGAGTTTTTCTGTAAATGATCCCTCCTTCTACTCCCACCTAGAGTCGGGATATCCTAGTGGTACCTGAAGCCTTACCAAGCAGTAAGCACCACCCCTCTGCTCAGAAATCTGTGCACAGGTATCTCATCATTGGCAGGTCCTCCCTCCCCACCGGTGATCCTAAAGCTTTAAGGGAATAAAAAACACCTCACAAAGGGCTCCCTAATGGAGACCAGCGAACAGAATGTATGGGTATCATACGAAACTTTCACTTCACTAGAAAATGTAAAGAGAGTGGATGTTACTTGCTCCTACCACAAAAATGATAGCTATGTGAGGTAATCCATTTGTTAACTAGCTGGATGTAACTGTTGCACGATGTATGTGCACTTCAGCACACCATATTGTACATGAGAAAAACACGCAATGTTATCTGTCCATGTAAAAATAAATCAAAATGGAAAACTTTTTTTTTAACTTTCACTTCCCAGCTGTCACATGAGCCAGGGATGCCAATGATTTGCTAGATCTCCATGCCCCACCCCTACCCCTTGCCCTGCATCCCAATCTATTGCAAAATGCAACCACAATGTGGATTATTTGATGTTTTTCAGGACACCATTGAGATCACTGGAACTTTTAAACACCGCAAAGTGACCCTGGTGGAGGAGGGCTTTAACCCCGCTGTCATCAAAGATGCCTTGTATTTCTTGGACGACACAGCAAAAACGTATGTGCCTATGACTGAGGACATCTATAATGCCATAAGTGCTAAAACCCTGAAACTCTGACTATTCCCAGGAGGGTAACTCAACATTTCCAGAAAGAAACCGAATGGACAGCCACTTGATATAATCCAACTTTAATTTGATTGAAGATTGTGAGGTGCAGTTTTTTTAGGAAATTATGCATACCAGTAAAGGGAGACTTTTTAAAATGACAGCTGAGTCTTTGCAAGTAAAAAGATTTAGAGATTATTATTTTTCAGTGTGTACCTACTGTTTGTATTTGCAAACTGAGCTTGTTGGAGGGAAGGCATTATTTTTTAAAATACATAGTAAATTAAATGAACACCAACATGTGAGATGGCACCATCTCTGTGTTCTTTCCTCACTTTATTCTAATACAAAGCCTGTGTCAATTACTCCAAAGCCTGAAGTTCTCACTGGTAACTTTTCATACGTGTCCCATTCATAAGAGTAATGACATTCGCCGGGCGCGGTGGCTCACGCCTGTAATCCCAGCACTTTGGGAGGCCGAGGCGGGCGGATCACAAGGTCAGGAGATCGACACCACGGTGAAACCCCGTCTCTACTAAAAATACAAAAAATTAGCGTAGTCCCAGCTACTCGGGAGGCTGAGGCAGGAGAATGGCATGAACCCGGGAGGCGGAGCTTGCAGTGAGCCGAGATCGCGCCACTGCACTCCAGCCTGGGCGACAGAGCGAGACTCCATCTCAAAAAAAAAAAAAAAAAAAAAAGAGTAATGACATTCTAGGTAAAACTGGCTGGAGACGGGGGGTGGGGTGTGAGGGGTGGTAGGGTGAGGAGGCTGGATCAGCAGAGGCCAATACAATGGAAATCTACTCCAATGTGAGGAGGCCAACTTTCCCTACCCAGAGGCATCCCGTGCACTGTGTACAGGCAGCATTATCCAACGGGTAATAATGCCATCTATAGTCCTTACAGGAGCCTAATTCTATGGCATCAGAGTTCTGTACATAAAAGGAGTTCAGGCCAGGCACAGTGGCTCACGCCTATAATCCTAGCACTTTGGGAGGCCAAGGCAGGTGGGTCACGAGGTCAGGAGTCCAAGAGCAGCCTGGCCAAGATGGTGAAACCCCATCTCTACTAAAAAAATACAAAAATTAGCCAGGCGCAGTGGCAGGCACCTGTAATCTCAGCTATTCGGGAGGCTGAGGCAGGAGAATCGCTTGAACTCGGGCGGCAGAGGTTGCAGTGAGCCAAGATCACGCCACTGCACTCCAGCCTGGGTGACAGAGTGAGACTCCGTCTAAAAAAAAAAAAAGTGTTCAATACATTTTAGCTACATCAGGGGTTGCAGACTCAGGTGTCTTCAGAATTCACATAGGTAATGTGGATGAGAAAAGCAGGTCACAAATGAATGTGGTAAACTTGGGGACAGCCACTAAGCTTCAGTCAGCTGAATATAGGTCAAGTATTGCTGGGATTTTCTGATTATTCAGAAAACAGAAATCCATCAGAACTTATTAACATTAGTGTCACTAAAGTTGATCTGCAACCCCTGCTCCCAACACACACACACACACACACACACACACACACACAACTACTAGGTTTGACTGGCTTTTTAAAAAGAAAACAGAAATCTAGATATGTATGTGAATCTCCCAATTTTTGAAATCTGAAGTCTCAAAATTGTTTAAACTTCTATGCATCCCATACAAAATATGTCTGTGGGCCGGATAAGTCCCAGCTGTCCAGTTAGCACCTGAGTGTCACTTACATGTGCCCCTACTCCCCAGATGGCAACTGGTTTCACTCCAAAGCCAGTCTCCTGCCCACGGACCCTTTTCAAGGACAGGAGGACCTTTAGGATGGCACAGGAGGCTTTGGGAAACTCTGAGGAGCTCTTTCACCTAAGCCCTTTCTCCTTAGACCTAGCTGCTCCCTTCCTGGGTTTAATTGCTTTACCTCTGCATGTACGAGCTACAACAGAATTCCAGGAGCAGGTCATGGGTGACAGCACTCGAGACGACATGTACCTTACCTAGAGCTTGTCCTAGGCCATGGGAGCATCACGGTCATTGAGTTCACATCCAGAAAGCATGGCCCAAGTTTACCACAGCCTCCCCAGAAGTTTCCATCATGGAGTTTCCCTCCCTAGAGGACATCTTCAGATGACCAGGAGCTGGTATGGCTTGCCAATTCTCCTCCAGTGTAGTCCCCATAAAGCCCCAGGCAAACATATCTAGGACTCCTCAATGATATATGATGAGAGGTGTTGCCACCCCCAGCCCCAACAGAGTACTAGAAATATTTTTTTTTAACTCTCTTCACTCTTGGGTGACTTTTAAGAAGAATCATGACCAAAATCCTTGCCCCCACTCATTATACCTAACGATAAACATTTCCTGAGTGCTTAGTATACATCGAGGACTTGAGGAGGGTCTAAAGAAAACTCCAGATAGGCTGCACCTTTGTGAATTTTGCCAGTAATTAGAATGATTATTGTTTGTGAGTCAGCACTTGGGAATTTTTGCAAAATTCTCTCTGCCTTTGAGTTACAGGAGAATGAGGAACCCAAGTAGCGGGAAATAGGACAGCCTTTGAGTATCACGTTGTGCAATTGTGTTACCTGGAATCTTGTCAAAGGAGAAGCAGGATGTCAGCAGGGGTCATGTTAGAGCAGTGGCTTCATTCTGTGTCACAAGGGGTATCTTTTTGGGTAAGAGGTCAGCATTTACACTATTGGCCAGAATATTCGTGTTATATTAACCAGAGCCTGCTTGCCCCGATCTCGTTTGACCCATGTTTTAGACCTTCCAGTCAGAAACTCAGAGACCCAGGTCCTCACATCCACACCCTGCCCAGCTCTGCCTCCCAGCCTGATGATTTCCTCAGTCTCCCACTTTCCCACACCACCCTGAATCTGGCCAGGTAACACAGCTCCATTGAGATAAATAGAGACACCCCACAATGTCCTTAGCCCCTAGGTTTCCATGTATGTAAACAATTGTAAGCCATCACTTGTGAGAGATAATCCCTTAAAGATTGCTTTTTCTCTTTTAAAAGGGTAAGAAACTGTGCCCAAGAAATATCTGCACAAGTCATTCTCATTTGAAAATATAAGTGGATATTTGAATTTAAAAAAATAAGCTGATATCCATGTAAATTACCCAACAGGGCTTTGATTTCAAATGTATTGTTTGGAAACCTGTAATCAGTGCATAGATGGGATGCTATAAGCACCAAAATAATTTGGGGATCAAAGTAGGAAATGTCAGCTTCTGAAATGGAAGCTAATGAGAATCAGTATTAAAATGGGTAAGGTTAGGCAGGCCTGTGGGGTGTGCCTATAATCCCAGCTACTAGAAACTGCCTATAATCCCTGTCCAGAGACTGAGGCAGGAGGATCACTTGAGCCCAGGTTAGCCAGGCCTGTGGGGTGTGCCTATAATCCCAGCTACTAGAGACTGCCTATAATCCCTGTCCAGAGACTGAGGCAGGAGGATCACTTGAGCCCAGGAGTTTTGAGTCCAGCCTGGGCAACATAGTGAGACCTCATCTCAAAAAAAAAAAAAAGGAAAAAAGGTAGGTTTAACTAATTGCAGTGACTCAACTTAAGAGATAATTTGCTAAATGTGTCGCTCATTCATACATCCACTCTACAAGCACTTCGTGAGTGCCTGCTATGGACCAAGAAATGTTCTCAACATGGAGTGCTGAGTCCCATCCCCCCAAAGTATAATTGAGTTTGCATTTCTAACAATGCCCAGGTGAGGGTAATGCTGTGAAATGGGGGCCACATTTGGGGAATAACTGACATCCTGAGTTATACATCATGTGCACTTACTTAGTGGGTAACTCAGTTCCTCCAGGCTGGGTTATCCCTTGCTAACTGAGACTCAGCTCTTAGATCAAGTGGCTCAAAGTGCAGGCCCCAGGAAATGTCCAGCATCAAGAAGCACCTTGTCATCTCAAGCCTGCAATTGCTCTTGGAAATTTACATCAATTAGAGCTTATATCTGCTTGCTAGATACATACACATGTATTATGATTTGCTATAGCAAACTAAAAGCAATCCTAGAGAGTAGCTAGTCAAACCTCTTTACTTGATAAATGAAAAAACTGAGGCCTGAGGTTGAGTGACATGACTAAAATCACACAGCTAATTGGCTTCACTAAGATCTCACTTAGTACTTGCAGGAAGAGAGTATCATCATAGACCGGTAGTTCTGAGTGTGGTCCCTGAGCCAACAACATCAGCAGCACCAGGGAACTTGCTGGACCAACAAATTCTTGGACCCTGCAAATTCTAGACCTACTGAATCAGAAACTCAGGGGGCAGGCCCAGACATCTGTGTTTTGACAAGCCAAAGCCCCCGTGGTGTTACTGATGTGGACTCAGTTTGAGAATCACTGGCTTAGAGCAGTGCACAAGCTTTACTGTGCATGAGAATCACTTGGGGACACCAACGCTTGGGGCACACACGCTGCTTTGAGTAGCATGTCAGTCTAAAGCAGTGGTTCCTAGATGTCACTGCACACTAGAATCATCTGGGCAGCTGTCAAAAATACCAAAACCCAGGCCCCTGCCATACCAATTAGATCAAGGATTCTGGGAGTGGGAACGAAGCATCAGTATTGTTTTAAGGACCTCCAAGTGATTCCAGTATGCAGCAAAGCTCAGGGATCACTAGTAGAGAACAAGGAGCAAGTTTTCAGCTTTTGGCCAGGTGCAGTGGCTCACACCTATAATCGCAGCATTTGGGCAAGCCAAGACAAGAGGAGTGCTTGAGCACAGGAGTTCACAATCAGCCTAGGCAACATGGGGAGACCCTGTCTCTACAAAAAATTTTAAAAATTAGCCAGGCCAGGCATGGTGGCTCATGCCTGTAATCCCAACACTTTAGGAGGCCGAGGCAGGAGGATCACCTGAGCCCAGGAATTCCAGACCAGCCTGGGCAACATAGGGAGACCCTGTCTCTATAAAAAATTACCCAGGCATAGTGGTGTGCACCTGTAGTCCCAGCTACTCGGGGCACTGAGGTGGAAAGACAGCTTGAACCTCAGAGGCTGAGGCTGCAGTGAGCTGTGTTCACACCACTGCACTCACAGAATGAGACCCCATCTCAAAAATAAATAAATAGCTACTTGGGAGGCTGAAGCAGGAGGATCGCTCAAGCCCAGGAAGTCGAGGCTGCAGTAAGCCATGATTGTGCCTCTGCACCCTAGCCTGGGTAAGAGAGAAAGCACTAGTCTCAAAAAAAAGCTTTAAACTCTTAACAAAGATTCTTTTGACCAAACTCTAGTCAAGCTCCTCTGAGCCCTGAGCCCCCTTCTCGACTAGGCCCCAACCTTTGCCTATAAAGACGTGAACAAACACTAAC